TTCGATGGACTCAAAGAATATGAGACAATGGGACCAAGGAATGGCAGGAGGGACGGAAAGGCAAGGGTAACTCCAGGACATATTTCACAACACAGATCCTAATCTGAAAGCCAGTGGTTATGGGAGGAAAAGAAAAGGGAGGAGTCAGAGATGATTCAAATGTTTCTAACCTGCGAGGCTGACTAGTATTGCTGGCACTCATGAGAATGGAGAAACCACATTGGGCAATCCCCAGCAAAAGATGAATGATGATGAGTTCTAAGCTTCTCAGAACTAAAAACTACATAAATTTTGAGCCAATCAAGATAGTAAGCAAAATTATTTACGAGTTCCTCAATTTTTACCATTAAATCACAGGTGTGCTGGAGAGCATGGTACTCCCCAGAATCCTGAACTCATGCACTTGCCTTCACTTCCATGAAAACAAACCTCAGGAAAAGTCAGCAGCAAGAGCAAGGCCAGACAAAAACGTCACTTCTTTGACTTTCACAGCCCTCACCAGTGAGATGCTTCATTGGCTCTGTCAACATAGACTGCACAATAGTTCCTCTGAACAATTCAGGCGCTGTACGTCTAACAACAGGCATGGATCCCACAAACCAGCAAGTGAGCAACAATTTCACCCATCCTTCTCATGTTTTTTTCCTAGAGCTGCTTACAAGCAGAAAAACCAATTGAGTTCACTTGTAAAGCCATGCTTCATCTATGATAGTGCCAATAGGTGATAGGAAGAAGAAAAAGGAGACGCTGTAAACTCAAACGAACCAGACCTCAGGATTGCCATTGTTGGCACCTGTGACCTGGATAAAACCACCCATCTACAGGTGTCTGGTTAAAATCCAGGCTCTGGCACATAGTAACCATATGAATATTGGTAAATTACTTGACCTTTCTGTGTTTCAGTTTTCTCATCTTTAAAAGAGTCATATTACATAGTTCAAAAAGATGATATGAGTATTAACTAAGGTAATATATGCAAAATGCTCAGCACGGTGTCTGATATTTAGTAAAGTGTTCAATAAATATTCACCTCTATTGTTACTTTTTATTTTGTTTTTTATTTATGCTTCCCTGAAGACAAAAGGTAGGCTTTGGAAGTCAAAAGTCATGCTAGGACTGTTGGATGATCTTGCATTTACCAAAGCTGTTGAGTCACGTCTGGATGGGTGGTATTCAGCATAACCCTGCAATAACATAAATTCTATATCCAACTAACTTCTCCTATTTTCAAGTGTGGGATGAGCTGAATCTCTTATCCTTGGGAGGGGCAGAAATGTTAGAAAACGACAGCCTTGAGATATTTGGAGCTTAATTCAGTGCACGGTCCTATTTGCACAGTATGATTTCCATTGTGCTTGTAGCGATATTTTTGACCACTTGGAAAACATTGCTTCTCATTAACTTCACAAAAGGGTGATTCCTTGTTTGACATGACTGCATTTTTTGGAGTCTACTTATCTCATTCTGGCAGGGTTTTACTGTACTTGAAGAATCGTTCCGCAGTAATTAGGAGCTTCTTGCCTGGACGTTCATGGGTATGTGTGTATTAAAAAGGAGACAAAATAAACCTGCTGCGCATTCCAGCTGGGCTTAGTCTAAATCGTTTTGGGGAGGTTTGTGCTCTTTTGTTTGCCTTTGCTCCTAAGCAATGGTGTTTCGGCTTTCAAGTTTGCCTCTTGACAAGCCTCTGCATGTAGAGATTATACGAAGCTGAAACTACTTCAAACTTGGCACCTCAGCTCATGTCTTCCCCGTGTGAAAAAAAAAAAAGCAGCATAGGACCTGCCTTCCAAGCTTAAAGCGCTTTCATTACCTGGAATTTATTATTTGCAGAGGCTAGTTACCTAATCTGTTTGTCCAAACACAAAAGGGAGTGAGTGAAAGCACTATTGTCAAAAATAAGTATGTTACCCTGGACCAGCACCCACAGGTGGCAGGGACTGCAGCTGGTTGCTTACCAAAAACCCAGACTTCTCCAGACACCCATCAGTCAAAAAGACCGCAGAGTGAGTCCTTTGAGTCATTGAATATATTCATACTAAATGATTTATTGAGTCCTGCAGATCTGCCTGGATATTCTGGGAGCAGAATGTGCCCATGGGATTACAACTCCCATTCTCATCGTAGCCAAGTTTCATCTAGGGATGTATTCTAGAGTTTTATCTTCAGTTTTCTATTGCCCAACTAGCACTGTAGCCCAGAAAAGATTTTAACTCTATTAAACAGGACCTGATTTCTATGGTACTATAACTGTAATGATTTGTGCAGAATTAGTCAGACAGAGGTAGCATTGAATACTAATATGTAAGATAACTCTGATATATATAATGGAATGCACCTGTTCCTCATATTTCTTGATTTCATCATAGAGACAAAGAAGAGGTGTTTATATTCCTAGTTTCTAATATTTAGTTTACTTTTACAAAATCTGAATGATGCAACATGAAAAAATTAATAGTGACTACTAGAGGCAAGAAATGTGAGTTCATGAGCTTAAAACCAGATTCTGGATCCAGACTGCCTGGGTTCAAATCCTGACACTACCATTTATTAACTGTGCAAAATTCCCTGTGCAATAGTGTTCTCAACTATGACACAAATAATAGTCACCACCTAAGTAACTGCCAGGCACATAGTATGACACCAAGAGATATTTTTAGTATTATTATTTATTATTGGCCAATTTTAATCTTTCAGTATAATAGATAAATATCACAAACAAAAACAACAATAAAAAAGAATAAAAATCCTTAAATCCAAACTGTCATCTCAAAGTTATTCCCTGTCTACCACAGAGAGACAAAAAGTAACTGCTTCTATACCAGTCTTAGATTCTCCAAATTACTCTACAGCTCCTCTGATTATAAAATTACATTTTCTATTCTATTGATTATAGAATGAATTGAAACTCTAGGTATAATTTTTATTTGGCTTTTATTTATCCAAATAGGAGTTTCTAGACCTCGAAAGAATTTGTGTGTAGGAGGGCAAGATACTATACAAATCTCAAGGACAAAGAATAAGGGAAGGTAATTTCTAATACTTTTTTCTCCTATCCTACGTGATTGAATTTTGGCAAACTATTAATACCTCCCTGGGTTACAGATTTTTCATCTGAGAGGGTAAAGTGAGAGGGTTGCATCCTGCTCTAATAACAAACCAAAGCACTGTATTTTACACTTGATCTTAGCCAAAAGGCCGAGAAGCGATACAAAGCACTGTATTTTAGATTGAGTCTTACAAGGTCTAAGAGGGTAGTAAACACACTTTCCATGTTTGAGCTATCCTATAATTCTGTTCTCTCCTATCCACAAATGTAAAGATAATCGCTTCATAGCTAATTATTGTTAGAGTATGACAATAGGTCCATACTAAAAATGATCATTCATCTCCTTTCATATGTTTTGTCTTGAGCCCTTAGATTAGGTCTAGAAAGCACATGTCACATTGTTTCTCTAGTTTTTTCTTCCTGATTTACTAAGATTATCTAGGAGCTTTCTAGGATTGTCTCCATGAACCTCCAAAAGCCATCAGGTAGCACCAGTTAGTGAAAGATCACTCATTCACAGACCTTGTATTTCTCTCCTGAAAGTTTTTTAAGAGGAAATTTATGTAACTGAAAAAACCTTAAAAACAAGAAATTTCGTGAAAATAAGGGGTTGAAAGGAGCTATTAAAGTCCTTCTATTACTATAGTTAGCAAATTGATGATTAGCATATTAAACCAGAATATTTCAAAGAGTATTTTTCCTACTTATGTGCTGGATGTATTATTTCTGAAGCCCAAGCTACTTAAGATATGCAAGAATACATAAATTCCAACTGTATACAGGGGAGTTAATCTGTTATAAAGAACTAATATATGTACAATAGGAAAAGATGAAAATTATGCTGTTTTTGTAAACAATCTAATAAAATCTCATCAACAACTCTATGTAATGACTTGTGCAAAAGTCCTTTAGAAATAAGGTGCCATTCAAATATAAGGAATTATTTATTCTAGCACGAAGAGTTTAAATGCTTTATACTAGTTGAGTTGACATTTTCTTTTGAATTTTGATATTGTGCCTGATTCAGGTAGATTCTGCAGGGCTCTCCTCTTATTTCTTAGGACTGGGTGATTGAAAAACATTGTTCCGGTTTTAAAAAGTCACTAGCTTGTTCTTTTTACAGAATAATTCAACATTGCATTCTTTTCTATAGTAAATTACCATAATTTATCTGAAATACAATCAGATTTATAGAAATTTGATTTATAAGAAGCTTTTTAGGAGATGGCTGTTTTGTTAAACATGAAACATTTGATTGACTTTTACTTCTCTTCTAAGAAAAGTAGGAGCATGGGGAATAAAAACAAAAGCAAAAACAGTGTTGATCAAATTGCTGGGGTTAAGAAGCTCATCCCCCTCAGTTCTGAGGATTTCCCTCTTTTCTATATTTCCATTCTGGATCTAAAAGAAAATAATGGAGTGGGGTGGGCATTCTGCCTATTTTGTAACTTGGTAATGACTAAATGTAACTGAAATAGCACTAATTAGAAAACAATCTGTTTTTAAACTAATTGTGTTGACACATTTACATCATTCAAATATCAGCCCTGTAGAGAGAAATTTTTATAGTACTCCACATTTCATTTGTTCTATTGATCAAATACAAGTCTAGGGTTTCTACAATAAAAATAAAGAATGATTGAACTTGAGATTACACTTGTTTATGTTGTACATACCGTGGTGAGATTTACAATATAAACCAAAATTTTATAAAGAATAAAATATATTCTGGCTCCTGCAAGCTTCATATTTTTCTAGATAAATATGATAAACTTCACTTTCTGGCTAATTTGAAAATCTTGTGTAAGAAACACATAAACCATTTATGAAAATACTTCCAAGTGAAAATACTATACAAAATTTTTTTAGAATGAAACACTAAAGCAGTACCAAAATAAATTTTAACTAGACATCCAAAAGTTATAGAAACAAACAAATCTCATTTACTTACAAGTTGGTTTTGCTGTTGGAGGAAATTTGGTCCGAGTAATAGCCAAAATTATGAAAATAATGACTGGCCATAAGATCAAGACAAGAGTCCAAAGCTGAAAAATGACAATAGAAAAAATTATTGAATCATATTGCTGAACCAAAAATTTAAAAACATGGCTACAAAAGGTATGTCATACTATAATATTTCAACACAAGGTGGATATTTGACTACCTATAAATATTATTAATAAAAAAGGAATGAGAAATTTTTTAAAATGCAAAAGACCTCTAAGTGCACAGAAGAATGATTTTTCCAGGATGAAAACTTTGAAATGATTTTCCAAAACCTCTTTTCTGGTCACCTCTCATGACTGCCCCAAAAGTGCTTATCTTAAAATTCAAATCAGATCAGTTATTTCCTTCCTTAAAAATCTTTAGAGCTTCCTGGTTGCTCTTGGATAAAATACAACATTCTGAACAGGGAATACAAAACCCACCATAATTCCAACCTAGACCTGTCTTACCACTTCCAATGTCAGCATCTATGCTCAGCCATAAACAATGGTGTGTGACATGGCTCATAAATATTAAACAAATAAACAAATGCATGGACCAACAAATGCATAATTGAGCCAATGAGTGAAGGAGAAAACAGGAATTTAAAGTTCTATACAACCTCTCCTATCCCACTTTCACATCCTGTGTCTGTTTCTACCAGTAGAACTTAAACATACCATTATAGGCAATGGTTTTTTGTATGTTCTTTTATCTGGTTCCTGAAATAAACTGGCAGTTCTTTTATGGTAGGGATAGTATCTTATTCATCCCTAAATTTCCACTACCTGGTGCAAGATAGGTGCTCAAAAAATATACATATGGCATTGAAATTTCTGTTACAGAATTTCGCTTTAAGCACTTCAGGAACTGCTTCTTCTCCCCATGTAGACATGATTCTGGTCTAAAGGCACTAACTGCTTAATATTTTATATCCCTATAAAATTGGCTCCAGCAATCCTAGCACTCTGCAAGGCTGGGGCGAGCAGATCATTTGAACTCAGGAGTTCGAGACCAGCCTGAGCAAGAGCGAGACCCTGTCTTTACTAAAAAATAGAAAGAATTAGCTGGACAACTAAAAATGCATGGGAAAAATTAAGCCGGGGCATGGTGGGCATGCCTGTATCCCAGTACTCGGAGGCAGTGAGGCAGAGGTCGCTTGAGCCCAGAAGTTTGAGGGTTGCTGAGTGGGAGCTAGGCTGACCCGACGGAACTCTAGCCTAGACAACAGGAGTGGACTCGTCTCAAAAAAAAAAAAAGTAGTATATTATATTAGTTATATATATTCACAAGAACATTAACTGTGATATGCAAAGAATGCAAACAGTTACAGATGCTCAAGCCAAGACAGTGACAAACATTGCCTATACTTAATAAAGTGGAACTTGGAACTACATTTCTGTACAGTCATGCAATCAGGCTTGTCATCTTTCCTCCCTCACTTTTCAGAGACAATTTGCTTCTGCCAAATTAAACTATCCACCTGGGGCTCTTCAATCCTCCAAAGCAATCCAAGCCCGATCAATTATTGATCCTTAAGTAATTCCTAACATAAATTTTCTACTAAAATCTCCCTTGTGTGTCCTAGAGCACCACTCTCCTTGCTGGTAGGCCTGTCACCAACTTCTTAGACTTTGGGTATAAGGGCAGGTTTTTAGAAATGGAAGCTCACTGTAGATCTAAGGAGTCCTAAAGCACTTGGTTTGATCATCATTAAAAAGCACACAGACTGAACAACTTAATCTAAAGCAGCACTTCTCAAACACTCATGGGTACTCAGATCATGTGGGGATCTTGGAAACACACAGATTCTAATTCAGTGGGTCTGAGAAGGAGCCTGAGACTCTGTATTTCTAACAACCTCCCAGGTGGGTGATGCTAACGCTGCTGTTCCGTGGACTATACTTTGTTGGAGAGTGGACCTGGATGTATGTCACCCTCTTCAACTAGCAGGATCGTTAATAAAGTCTTGGAATATTTTTGTTGGAACGTTTCTCTGAGATCAGCTAATGGATAGAATTCAGGGCATTTGCAAATCTGTATAGAAAAAAATTGCATTTTTATTTTCTCTAGTTTGAAATTTAACATTTCTCCATTAAGGATGAATGTGGGCAATGAACCACAATGTTATTAGCAGTACCTGTCACCAATAGAAATCATGGATATTTTAAATTCACATTAGAGTTGTTGCAGATATATCAAAGTGCTATATACACTAATCACTGTGTTAAAATTATGGTAGTTATGGATTAACCACTAGACTTTTTTTAATGCTATAGCAAACACACATACTACCATTTCATAAACTTGCTTCTTAATATTTTGATAACTGAATTTGAATGTAATTTGTTTTATTTATAACCCTGTATATTTTATTTTATTTGACAAATTTAAAAACATTATTCTTAGAAAGTCCATAGACTTAACCAGATGGCCAAAAACAGCCATGGTGTGCAAGATGATAAGAGCCCTCAATCTAATCCAACTCCCTGTTTGTATTCTCTGGGGTGCAGAAGTTGCCTAGCTTGTCCAAAAGTCACATATCCAGTTTTGGTGCAAAGCAGGGGACAAGAATGTGAATCTCAAGGTCCATACGCGAGGATGTTTTATAATTTTCATGCTGCTCTGAGGAGCAAATATGAAAGCACCATAGAAAGTGTGTTTTAAAAAAGTATTCGTGCTACAGAAATATAAGACATGTTATTATTCTAGCCTAGTCTCTGATACATTTGAAAATTAGAATCTGTTATTCAGATCCTGGATACAAGGTGCCATTTTTATTTTATGTGACTCATTTGAAATGTAGACTATAAAGAATTAAGGTTAAAAAATATGAACATTTGTGGATTTATCAGTTTTGTATTTGATGCCATCCTTATTCTTTAATGAAAGTATTCATTTGGGTAGACAGTGCCCCACAGCTACTTTTAGGGGCATCTATTCATTTTCTATGGCAACGTCATGAGAATTCAGTGGCCAAGATCAACTATATCAACACAAGTATACATTCACATTCAAATAAGGGACATCGATTGTAGGATATTTTTCAGTCGTCTTTTGATTGATCTAATTTGATGATTTCATGAGGATGTTTTGGTAAATTTTGAAATTTACCTTAGACATGTTTTAAATCAGGGAAAAATGTAATCTATATCAAGGAAATTTAAGGCAATTTAGACTCTGTTAAAGGCAAAAAACACAGCAAGCCCATATGCAAATCTATAATCAGAAGATTTCCCTGGGATTTTAGGTCAGAGAGGTTTGGAGAACATTTCAACATACTGCATTTTTGAGGAATGATAAGAACAAAGCCCTCCATAGTGTGATCTTAGAAATGTTAAGGTTGGCAAGTTAATCACAAAAGCAAGAAATAAATAAAATTTAAATTTTCATAGCAGCAGGATTGCTCTCAACACCATTCTAAATATTATCATAAGCAACCTAGAAGCAAATACAGTATCAAGAACCCAAATATTAAACCGACGAGCCATGCCTTTTTTTGTTTGTTTGAAGAAAGCACTAATATATTGATTTTATCCGTATAGACATAGGAGCTACTTAAAAACTTTAAGGACAGCAGTTTCAGAAGATTTAGTAGTTTTGCTAATATTTTAATTGTCTCACACTCCCTCTACCCCTCCTTTGTATTCCATTGCCTCTATTCTTGTCATGTAAGGCCACACGCACACTGAATAATTAATTCACAGTTCCATAGTGGGCCCAGGTATTTGTTCTCCTATTTCTCCAGGATTTATTTTCTATGGAGATTTTCTATTCTGTCCTCTTTTTCTTTTCCTCCGTTTCCTAAAATATTTAGTCCAAAAGTCTTAAGTGGGGCCTGGCAAGGTCAGCGTCCACTCAAGGACTGGGAAACCCACAGTGGCCCAGCGAGGGAAGCGGATCCCTGGCAGGGTGACGAGGACATGGGCTGTCGGAGCCCGAGTGGGGTGAAGAAGGTATCAGTGCAGGGAGAGAGGGCAGAGGCAGTGGAAGGTGATTAATTTCATAAGAAGAGGGATTACATAAGAGGAGGCTGACCAAAAAAGTAAATATAGCTCCCATGTGGGGAGCCAGCTTCTCACTATTCATCGGGAGAATTTCACGTGGGAAATGAACTCTATAGTGTTGGGCTGGAATTAACAATATGGGCATACACTCCTCATCTCCAAAATATACAAAGACACATAAAATATAGATATAAATGTCCATTTGTGTGTGTGTTGTTCATTTCCTACCTCTGGTTCCGCAAGTTGTTTCTGCTTTATTCAATTCTGTACCTTTTTTGTCCCAGCCCTGAAAATACCTATTTATCCAAGAAATGCTATCTTCTTTTAGTGGACATCTGAGTGTTAGGTTTGAGCTGATCTATATTATCTACTAATTAAATTGAATTATCTATTAATAGTAACATTTGCCTCTGCATTGGCAGAAAGCTATTGTTTCGAATATTTGAAAATTTCACAAATCGAATATTCTAAAAAACTTTCGACAAAGCATGTCATTTCAACATTAGGTCATCCATACTCTGTTACCTTCTCAGAACCCTTTATTCTAATCCCTGCAAGTCCATCTGATTCTATTTGTGTCCACCATTGTTATTATTTTCTTATCATTTTCAGTAAAAGGTAAATAAGAAAATAAGATACAGGCGAATTTCAAATTATAAAGTTTTACTATATGTTTTTAAATTTGAGAAAACTGCTTTAAAATATCATCTGAATATTCTGGGAATTTCATTACTGTTCCGTGATTGTCCTGGAGCAGAGGTCACAGACTGGTGGTAGAAAGGCCAAATCAGACTCATGGAGGGGTTCTGTTTCTTGCACGCAGGCTTGTTGTTGCTGTTGTTAATGGAATTTTAATGCCTTTATAGCCCATGCACTCTCTAGCTCATCACAGGTAGCTCCCTTCCCTATTTTCTCACAAAGCTCGTAGTGCACATCACATAATCATGTTACCTGTAGATATTAGAGTCTGCGTGCCATGCACCAGAGCAGTTTGAAGTTGGTTATGTTAGAAATAAATGATACTGAATATCAGCACAATTTCTAAATTTCAA